TACTTACTTACTGCCAGTCTAAAGAATTTGGTGCGAGAGGTCTGACGAGCCGCTACTTCGCTCTCATTACACCCTGGATCAGCACCACCATAACTGGGCGCAGGTCTGCAACGTGGGGGTGGGGTGATATCCTGCGCTTTTGCTATTTCCCATCGACGAGTCGAGCCATCAGAGATCTACTAGCTTACAAGGTTAGGCAGGTCTTACCATAGTGACTCGACGAGCTTGCTCCTTTTCACAAGTATTCGCAGGTGTCAACAGAGTGAAACTTGTGAATCGGAACTAGTGAAGCAGCGAAATTGCAAAATGCCCCCCCCCCACGTCGTCGGGCTGCGCCCCGTAATTGTACTGCCATAGTCGAATATGCTGGGACATTTGGTTCAATAGGATGTCTGATTATGATAATAACGCGTGGCACCTCATGTGCTGAGGATCCGCAACGACGATCGCTCCTTCCCTCCCTACCTCCGAAGACCGCCGCCGGGAGGGAGAGGGGGTAATAGTCTTCTAGCCCTTTCAGTATGTCTTTTGCGGGCGGAGAATGGAGATTTTTTCCGTAAAGCTATTGGAGTAGGGAGATTTAGAAAGATGGAAGGTAGGATAGGCAAGGGAGATCGTATCTAAGGAGGAAACGTTGAGGTAGAGGGGTTTGATTTCGTGAAACTTTCCGCAACGGCAGGCCGTGCCTTCGTGCCGATTCCTCGTTCTTTTTTTCTCCAATGGAAAGCGGGGCGCCTCGCATTCAAAATTGATAAATTGTGTGGCTCAACCATCAACGACGAGATAGTAAATAACACAAAAGCAGAAAAAAAACCCGCTCAAAATGCTCTGTATAGAACCCCGTGCCGAACGTGGTGGCCGGTGGGCGGGGCGGTGGCCTCGACGCGAGCGGGTCGCGCTTTCCTCACGTATTCTTGAGCTGCGAAAGTAGCACATTCTCCAGCTTGCGAGCAAGACTGCCATATCTGAAAAAAGACGTCTGAACGTCAAATAAACGCGGAAGTTGCTTTTAACTCGCTGTCCAGTCGTTGCGTGCGTGTGCGTTGGCTCCACCATCTCTGTTCCCGAATAGGAGGCCTTGCACCCTAACGTTATGAGAGGCGCATTGATAACAGGGAGAGTACAAAGTGTGAGAAATCCCTTAAAAATTTTCATTTCAGGAAAGTGAATTATGTAACGTGGAAGATGCCGCATTGGAAGAAAGTTTGAGCGACGGAGCTCTTGTTGATGGACGGTCAGTTTCACTGCGAGTTTTCTTCACCAGTTCGTTCTGTATTAATGAATTGCAAAGCCCCAGAAGTACAGTTTGCTGGGCACGCTGGAGCCTGTCAGAAGTGAGAGGGGGGGGGGGAGCGAGAGGGGAAGGGCTGACTTCGCTGCTATACCAGCCCCACCAGGTTAGTGTCGCTTGCTCTTTTCAACAAATGGTGTAGAACAGGTTGGCGCTGCATCACGCCCAGTCTTTAGACCCGACTGCACACCTACAGCGAACAAGACTGTACCACACGCCTCTCCGGACGAGTCTACTGGCAGGTAATCGACCCAGGGTGAATGGGAGACCTAATAAACTCGGGTTCGACTCTTTCCGGGTCATAATCGTGAAGTACAACGTACTTGTTACTACACCACTTCCGCAGAATACTGCAGAATTCGCTCCTGCGCATTCGCCCATTTCACTGGCGTCGCTTTTCCTTTACTGCAGTGAGGGGTTGAGGAGCATCAATAAACGTTACACAATGGTCGCGCTGGCTCCGCCCATTCATCTATTGTGGACTGGTCCTTTAATCTCCACCACTACTCTAGGAGTGGCAGCTACTTCAAAGATGGGTCACTCGCTGACATCAATCGGATTCTTGGCTCTATTTACCCTCTACTGCGTCAATCATCCGAAATCAGGGCAGTTTATGACTGACTTTTTCTCCGTGTGCGGAATTGGCTCAAATGTTGCTTCCTGAGGTAGTTTGACCTCTTGAATACGACTATCGTATCTCAGAACCTCCTGGCGCCCGCGCCACAGGCGTCGACGCCAAAACACCTAGATAGCCTGCGTCTGTGGAGCGGGCGCCACGAGATTTTGAGCCAAGCAGATACGATAATCGTGCTCAAGATGTCAAACCTCCTTAGGAAACAACATTTGAGCCAACTCTGGTCCACCGAGAAAAAAGTAGCTCAAAAACTGGTTTGATTCCGGATGACTGGGGGCAGTGAATGGTGAATAGTGCAGGGATTCTTTTTTTTTCTGTTGTATCTCAAGAATAGGAGGTAAACTTTGGGGTTGGAAATTAAATTAATACAATCAGCAAAATACATAGAGAGTCCTGATTTGCTCGCTCAAGTGCTATTCATTCCAGAGGAGGAGTGGAAATGATGAGACGGTTGGCTAGTAAATATCCGTGCGGCCTTGAGCTATATCTGAGTGCTTCTTATTAACATGATTTGTCCCGTCCAATTATTCTATAGTATTGTTTTTCTCCTATTGTATCTAATTCAGATTTCAAGTGATATTATATTATTTTGTTTTCTTGTTTATTTTTCTTCTGAGAAAAAATGGAACGAGCATGACCCTGTAGATCCTTCTTGTGTGCGGGGCAGGAAATTCATAGTGTGGCGACGTGATGGAAATCGCGTGCGCGGCATTTGCACCAAGAACTAATTGACTTAGCTCCTAGGTGATTTGTACGAAATAGCTAGTCTCCGGACATCGTTATGACGAGACTTTATCAACCTGTATCCCCACCTTTTCGATTTCATTCGTCAAAGAAACAAATTAGTTATTACAGCGTTAGTAGAACGATGCGGTATGTCGTCGCAGAAGGAGGAGATCAACGAGGCCTGCAGGCAGATCGAACAACTCTTCGGAGGCAGAACCGACGCGGCCAGAAGATGTCTAGAAGTAGTCGCTCAAAGGTGTGTCCCTTCAACCTGTTTTGCTACGATCTTCCAGAAATTACTCGTTCCCATACAGGACAGCCGTCTGCTCGGAGAAGTACGCAAATGTCGTGCTATGTTCCGATCCATTAGTAGCTGCCGTTGCCCAGCTGTTGTTAGCTGGCCTCGCCCCAGCAGTACCCATTGAGAACATCTACAGTACAAGCAAGGCAGGAAGGGTAGGTTTTATAGTGACTGATTCAGTAATATCCACATGAAAATCAATTTATTTTAAGGAGGCCGTTTTGGATCGGATTCAGAACCGATTTGGGAAAAAGTGCAGCTATGTGGTGATTACGTCCAGCGCTGAGACAAACAACCTCGCTCGAAAGGTTAGACCCACTCGTTTATTCGCCCCCCTCGTCTGAAATCCCTGAAAACCCAAATGATGTTCTTTCAGGAGTCGATTCCCGTCTGGCCAATCGTTACCACAGACGACTTTGAGAAGCTCTACACAGCGCAATCCAACTACCTACTCGGAAGTCTCTGACCCTGCCAAATGGCCCTCGTGTTCATGTTTGGTGCCATCTGGCTCCGTTCCGAGTGCAGTTTCCTCAAGTTTAGTCATTTGTCAATATAATTATTCATCGTGATCTGTCCGATTTGTTGCCATTCATTTTTTTTGTCGCAGCCATTATGCATTTTCGTTGTCCATACTTTTATGAAGTATCATTCGTTGTGAGTTCTATTCTGCTCAAATAAAGCCCTAACTATGATTTTATCTCAAAATTACCAGTTTTCCCTGAATCGTTTAGGTCGGTAAAGCAGCACTCAGAGCACGGCATGGCGCTGGGGGAAACTCTACGACTTCTCTCCTCTGTCGAACAGGGTATGTGGGGCTTTCACGCCATCGTTGTGATAATCACAACGCTGAAGGGGTCGTATTCGACCGCGAGGGAGGGGGAGCGTATTTGGTCTGGGCGAAATTTAGTTTGGTAGTTGATTTCTCTTGTCTCATGGACGCTAAAGAGGAGGGGATCGCATTCGCTTTTTTGGAAAGGAGGAGTTCTTAAGTTCTTGTGGAGGCGTTCGAGGGACAATCTCAATTGTTTTTGGACTCTTTCAGGCCCTGACGAAGGCGAGGAAGCCGAAACGTTGGCCAATAAATTATAAAAATCTTGGACGGCTCAAACTATCCACCTGTTTGAAGATACAACAATGCCAAGATTAAGAGAAGGTCGATCCTGGTCGAGTACACGCCTCTTCTAGTGTTATGATTTCTCTATTGTTTTATTACATAGTAGGATAGCCCGTTTGCCGCCGGGTGCTCCTCCTTCTGTCTCACGGCCTAGCATTGCCGGGCTGGCCTGGCTCCGCCAGTTGATCTCAACTTGTGCGAGTAGAGTGCGCTAAATGTGCCAAACGGTTACAGTTACTTATTATTGAAACGTAGGAAATGAGTTGAAAATTGCTCAGCATCAGTCATTATCTACCAACATCTGGTCCCTGTTGCTTACTACAGATTTCGAATGTGCGTAGTGCCACAATGCGCGCTTTATAACACGCATTGCTGTGGCGCGCACTTGTGAATTTTTCATGGGCAGAGAAAAGTAGATATGAGCACGGGCGTTTGAAATATTTCTAGAGTGTCCTTAAAGGCAGTTGGCACGATAAATCGCTATACAGGTGTAGGATTTGTACAACTGGCTTAACAGAATTCCGTGACCTCGGACAGGCGCTGCGTGAAGCCTTTTCCAAGGAGGGTACCTCTATAACGCCCTATTGAGCAACAACTTTACGTCCCAAACGCCTTCCTTGCCCGCCCGCCCACAAACGGACGACCGTTTCTGACGCTCGTATTCATTCATTTGCTGAGCAAATTATGAAGCAAAGGGATTGGTATGAAGCGGCCGTGATGCTGCATGCATATATGGGTACACATATGCAGCCGTATCTTCGGTAGCGGTGATTGGCAAGATGAAACTCGTCCGAAATCGATTTTCAAGTCACTGAGAACGGAGGCTTTTTCTTCGCCGGATTTTGACCGTTTCACTCCGTTCTTTCGCCATTTCCCCACTACATAGCGCCCTACTAGCATTTTAGGCCGAGTGGGAAACCATCGTGCCAACTGCCTTTAATGACTTCACTAATTAGTTCCGACATCAGAATGGGTAAAGATGAATTAATCCAGATGAATCAGTACCACCCGGAAGATGCATGACTACACAGTCACGGAATACTCGAATCTTTCCACCAACAGGAAGTCTTCACACTCAATTGTCAGGTTCCCTCCTTATCTATTTTGTTTCAAATGTCACCGCCACTTCCTAACACATCAGAAACATCACATAGCAAGCAGATTTGCAAAAATGTTTTTGATGAATTTCTCGGTTTGCTCGTTTCCATGTTGCAACTATACACCCTATCCACCCTCCCCCCCCCTCCGCTCCGCTCGACACCACTGTATGCATCTACAAGCAAATAGTTCAGTGGAAGACTTTGATTCTGTTGCTTTCCTACTACTGTTACCACCCGTGCCTCAAACTTCGCGATACGCAGATTCAACTACATACATACCATACATACATACATACCGACAAACCGACACACAAAGTTAGTGCTCTATAGAATAGAAGGATAGTGAAATGAGTTCATTTCCTAGTGTTATCAGGCTCATTTGTGAAGTGCCCAGATCACCAAGTCCGGTAAAAACTTGTATACAGGAGCTATCTGACATCCTGATTACAAATATGACATTCATTCTTGACGCTGGTGTTAATTTTATCTGTTTTTTCGATTGGTAAGATGATCTGTCATCCGTTATCGATATCCTCATCACTAAATCTTTATGCTGGTGGCGTGAACCACCTTGGACGACGACGGCAATGTCCCTTATCACCGCCTATCAGAAGCTATCGCTTCAAGTCACTCACTCAGTCACTTGATGCCCCCATCTCACCCTTTATATCACTTGCTATGCACGCGATGCGACCTGCGCTGTGAATACTGATTTCACCATCTGTCACCACCACCAGTGTTCCCGTCCCACTGCCTGCATTACCTTGTTGGAAGTGACATCCTACTGTTGCTGCGACCCGCGCTATGCATTTGGCGACTTTCCTCTTCTACAGCCTCTTATCGGATCTTATCAAGTGTGATAACATCTGTCACCCACCAATAGTGTTCCCGTCCCACTGCCTACATTACCTGTTGAAAAAATAACTTCCTACCATTGCTACGACCCGTGCTATAAATTTGCGGACGGACAGACATACAAACACACACACACACACCAACAGACAAACTTAGCGGATTATATACCAGTTTGGCTGACGCACACTACTGCGCGTCCGGCCGGGGTGCTGATTGCTGATAGGATTTCTGTGCTGACCACTAACACTTGGCTTGATTCCATGTCTCAAGTACGGCCTACTGCACCATATTTCACCTTTTTAATGAACATTTGCCAATGTCTGATGCTTATCACGTTTCTAAAAACACCCACCATTTGATGGAAATAGGGCAACTTAGCGGTTGAAAGAAGTTCGGTGGTAACATTATCCAAGTCTTGGTGGAAGCTACTTATTTCCTAGCGTTTCCGTTGAGCAGCTTTCAGTCCGTCTGCTGGTGGCCCTTATCACTCCTCACTGACAAACATCTTTAAGCTTTTACTTTTGGAAGAATCTTTAGAGTTTAGCGGTTGAATCAATTTGGTCTATATAGCTCAAGGATAGAAAGTGCCTGGCTCACCAAGCCTTTGCTCATCGATTCCTGGACCAAGTGATGAAGCTCAGTC